TCCATCCATCCATCCATCCATCCATCCATCCATCCATCCATCCATCCATCCATCCATCCATCCATCCATCCATCCATCTCGATTTCTCCCTTTCTCCATATAGGCTAATACTTAATCGTTCACACTCTCCTGTGGCGCAAGCACAGGGTGGCTATTATGCGCCTTTAGTGAGCATGCACGTTTCCTGTCTCTTGCGCGGTGAGATGTGCCACGTGCGCTGTGCGGAGATGCAGTGGAAACCGTAACTGATGGGGAAACGCAGCTCAACGTAACACAGGTATTTCCATGTGGAAAACGCTGTTTTGCTGCTGGAGTCCTCCTCACTCCCCATCTCTCTGTGTGTGCTGTACGTTAACAACCGCCAGCAGAAACACCCACCTACCCAACTGACAGATGTTATCTCACTATACATTAGCCAGTCTCATCCTCCCCTCCCTCATGACAAGGCGTGCACTGGTCCTATCATTAAATAAAGGTTCATTGTGCGACCTGAGTAACGTGCAGTAACGGGGTGACGAATGATAACTGCATTACAGTTAAAGTCAAAGTAATTAGTTAGATTACTTGTTATTAAAAATGGTAACAGCGTTAGTAACGTTAGGAAAGTATAGTTAGTCTTTACTTAGAAAATGTGGACGTTTTGCTTGTTCATTTTCCTGTTGGAACAGTGTAGATTGACCGTGAGGTTCTGGTGCCTATCCTCTTTCAGCCACCCCTCAGTATGCGTTGTTTATTGCCTGGCCACCCTTTAGTTGACAGTTTTTCAAGGCATATGGTGTGGCGTGGTAAAACAAATCAGAGTGATACCTCTTCTCTACTTTATCCCATCTCTGCTTGCTTCCTCGTGCTTATGTCCGAGCTTGTGCAGCTCATTAACATAAAATGTATGTCAGTAGGGCAGCTCGAGCTCACATGCCACGCGCACATGTTGTTGAGCTTTTAAGAAGCATTCCGATGTCGAACGAGCCCAATGCACCGGACCCACGCGGGGCGTGCGCGAATCAAAGAGTGAGAAAGAGTGAAATAAGGGCGGATGTTTTCACACAGCCTGGTTTGGAGGGGGCAATAAAGAGAAAGAGAGCATCCCTGATTCCCGTCAAACAAACAAGCAGGGAGGGAGGGAATGACGAAGGAACCGGTCACATTTCTCTCAGGCACCTGAAAACGTGCGGCTTATTTTAAGACGCGTGTTGCTTATTGATGAGAGGGGGCGTGGTTAATCCACTTCCACTCTGATGCTGCGTTAATGGTGGTGACTGTACATGACAGGGAGGGGAGCAATCTAGAACACAGACCTCAGACATTCACATCCTGCCACAGATACAGACGGACCATCAGCTGATCAACAACCATACTTCTTAAATGAGATATTTACATATTTATTATATATTTTTCAGAGAAATATTTCTTGTTGATATTTCATCGCTTCGCTGAGTTTCTCTGCGCACAGCTCCATAATAGTACACAGTGTACATATGCTTGTGCAGCTCCTCAGCCTCTCACTAGTGTTCACCAAACTCCTGAGTAAGAAGCAGCGGAAAGAGATCCAGCTTTAAAAAGTCAACAATTATTCCACTTGGAAGAGAAACCATGGAAAACAGCCCCGGTGGTAAGTAGATTTTAATATTCTGTCACATCTGTTTTATTGTATTTTTATTATCAATGTATTTTGGCTAAAGCAGACTGTAATTGTTATTGTTTTTATTTTTTTAGCATTATAATTCACCGAATTCACTAATTTACATCTAATATATATATATATATATATATATATATATATATATATATATATATATATATATATATATATATATATATATATTTATCTGCAAATTTTCCAACTTTGGAAGCTTTGATGAGGAGATTTGGTGATTTATTCAGACATCGCAGGGGTTTCAGAAACAGGGAAATCCTCCTGACATTTTTTTTTTTTCTGGACTTTCGATTTCTCTCCACGTAAACAATCTCACGTGAAGCTCGACCTATAAAGCCCACCCCCTCTGACCGACAATGTTCTCCTTCCACACTATCCCACTTACCTGAGTAGTTCACATCATGTTTATTTTTGCAATATATTTATATATATAGGAAAGCAGCTGTACACTAAGCAGATCTAGGAATTGATACCTACCAGCAGGAGCGCCACTAAAGAGGGGCAGGAATGGGCTCAAAATGTATGCATTTTTGAATATTAAAGCAGATATCACTTGTATTGTGTGGCACCAAGTTCCACTGAAATCTTTTTTCCTCCAGATTGAGGTAAAAATGCTTTTATATTGGATGTAAAAAAAAATGTATTTTGGAATAATTTAATGACATTTCTTTAGTTTAAAAAAAATCAGAGATCTTCATCAATCATCAATCATTCTATTTACATTATAATACTTTTTATTATTTGTTAACTTGATTTTTTTCTTAGTATATGTTTTATATTTGGATCCAATTTATTAATATTCTAACTTAATATAACTTTATCTCTTGTGCTGTACTATATTTTTTATTTTTGATACCAATGACCAACACACACACACATATATATATATATATATATTTACTTGGGACATATAGGTATCATATTTTGTTATTTAAGTCAAACCTAGATCATATCAGCATGCTTCAATGAAACTTTTGTTATGGTTTTGGATTTTGAAGACATTAGCAGCCCCCTTCTGGCTCCCCTTTGCCAAGTCTGGAAGGGTGCTACACATTACTAGACTACTGTGCATATGGATTTGCATTTTTCTTTTTTAATCGGCTTGTTTTCTGTCTCTTCTCTTACATACATGATTAGTCAGGACTCTGTGGGTGGGAACAGTCAAGGCCACTGGGTCAAAACATTGTGTGGAGCAAAAAATGTTCCATATCTGTCCCGGAAACAGTCAGTACTGCCAAGGAATATACTGAATCACCATCTGAATGTAGTGTGAGAGCAGATGATGAATGAGCACATCATGTTTCGCTCATTAGTGGATGGTGCCAGTCAATATGAGTCAGTTTACTGGGATAAACAGGGGATACTGTTACAGCCGCTAAATGTGACATTAGCCTGAATTATAAATGGAATGATATTGATTCAGCTGTAGTGTCATTTATTACAGAGTCTGAGCACTAAGATACTGGAATACAGTAATATATACTATAAACCTCTAATGACTCATTAATCTCTACGCAGTCCTCAACAAAGTCCTTGAACTGTTGAGAATCACACGCAGCCATGCCTCGAGCAGGCCGCACGTGGAACCTGCCTCGGCATACACGTGCTGCACATGTTACCCCGCCTCCTCCTCTGCGTGTGCAAGCTGCTCAGCTCGTGCACAGGGAATTCCTCAATGTTCACTGAGAGATTGGTCAGTGGGTCAGAGGGGTACTGCAGCCTTCCCAGTCAGCAGTGTTACTGGGCTGCTACCAGTTTGGAACCCCATTTATCAGAGAAGTAAAAGAGTTTGGTTTTAGTCTGACACACTGATATATGAGAGCGAAAGGCCACATTAACCAAGATTTAAACCAGACAACCAGCCTTTAGGTTTCATTATGACGCCTTCAAAAATAAAACCAACAGACAGAGATATTGTCAGAAGAAAGAAACTGAACCACATCTAATAAAACCCAGCATCACATATGTTGGGCTCACAGTGGGTGGATCTTGCTTATAATGCTGAGCCCCCTACCTCTGCTCCCTAGCAACAGTTTAAGGCAATCCATAAAGTAGAATACAGTGATGCTGAAATGTACTTGCCTGCTTACAGATTTTCTTTTTGCTGACAACTTTTTATGACACATATATCTTTCATACCATCAAAAGATATCTCACAAAAATTATACAGTAAAAAACTGACATCTTAATCTAACATGTTTTAGACATTCTTGGCAGCTCCAACTTTTATTTTATTATTATTATAAATGGTAATGATGCTTTATTGTTATTCCCATCTTTTATGGAGAGAGTTTTACTTCTCACAGGTTTGAAGTTTTTTTAACCATAAACAGAATAGTGATTAATGAGATTTAATTGCAGACTTTGATATGCCACTCCAACGCCTTCACCGTATGACTTGCCTAAAAGATCATATTTTCTTAAAGGGCATAAATTGTGTACTGAGAAGTAAACAAGCAATGACACAAAACTGAAAGATAACTAAAAAAACGGTTAATCTAATGCCACGCCTGGGACTGAGCCGCCCTTAGGCAGTCAGCCCATGTCACAAACTACAACTGACTATGAAAGTTCACATCAGGTCAGGCCGGCAATTCTCTAAAGCTCCAATTCATAAATGTAAATATATTTCAATTATTGAAGCATTTTAATGACAAAAGGGTTTAATTACATACAATTACCAATGTAGTGCAATTACCTAGTTGGACTGAATTCAGATTAAAGGCCAGGTGCACGTTATAATCCAATACAGCATTGTTTCTCTAACAGGTAGTAAAAAGTAACACCCAATTTAATCCTAAATTCTCTAAGCATAATCATAATGGTATAGATATAAAACAGTGATGCTATATGATTTTTCTCCTTCAAATAATAGGAATCTCCTATTTACTGGCATATTTTATTTAAACATTTCAGTTTTTTTTGTTTTGTTTTATTCTTTTTAGTTAAATAAAACATTTTTTCTGACAGCGATGGAGGTTTACTCGTCTAGAGTAATTAAAAGGTAAAGATTCCAGCTTCCTTCTCACCTTATGAGTATGAATAGAAAGCAGCCAAATGGGAACATGACTATTTGCGAGTCAGCTTTTGTGTATTCAACCTTTAATAATAAATGGCAGAACAGTAGGTTTCCCTCCCTAGAGACCCGTTGTCACACTGGATTATCAGTGAGAGGTGCAGTAGATGATCTCTTTGTGTGTAAATAGTAGGTTTTTATTTATCTTTGCTGGTTGATGATTAATAGCTACAGGGAATGTGAGTTGTGGTAGTAATTGGCAGTAAACTCTCAGTTAAGTTTCTGCAGAAAATGGATTAGTAGCATGATAAGAATCTGAAGGTTTTGTTCTTGAGTTTTTTACATGGAAGAAAAAGAGTTTTAGCGGGTTTAAAGCTTCACAAAGAAAAATGGTTTAACTTTAAAACAATCATGGAAATAATTCTACATTTTATTGTAAATTCCCTCCAAAAAAACCCATCAATGGACTAATGATGTCCACAAAGAGCTAATCATCCTGGATCACCTCTCCTCACGTGACATAGGTCCAACTGTTTCACGTGGAGTCAGGCTTAGCAACCATGCAAAAAGGGAAGTTTAAAGAGGGTGTCTCCCAACCCAAACATGACATGTGGTTGGATGTTTGTACAGTTATAGTCCCACACATGGGGGAGGGTCCTCGTGGAGGAGGAAGTACGAAGGGTGGGGTGTTAGGGATTTTGTTTGTACTGCGTTTCCTTAAAAACAGGTCACATGTTGCTACCTGTGCCTGCATACAGCACACATCACATTCCTGCACTTTATTCTGTCAGCCAGCTACTGCAAAATGTGGAATGTTTTTACTCCGGGTGGGAGGGGACGTGGGTGTGGCGCTTGTTTTCTAGCAGGGCATGACCCTGTGTTCTGCCTGCATCCATATAACTCTATTATCTCCCAGCGCAACGAAAACAAGAATGTCTGCGAGCAACATCTGTATCTGTTGCTAGATCTGCTGCCATGCATAAGGCGGCGAGCTGGCGTACCTCACGTGGGAATACAGAGGCTCTTAGAGCTAAACAGAAATGTAACACGTGATCCCTACTGGGGAAGAAAGTACAAGAGAAAAGAAATCCTTTCCTCAGATAATTCAGGAGGAAACATGCAGAGAATTTTTTGGGGCTGGTGCGGGTGTTGTCTCTTTAGAGTAGCTGCACCAGACATTTTTATTTGTTAGTCTGGGCTGCAGTTACCTGTTTAGCAGCACAGTGCAGATTTCTGGTGTGTGCTATAGTTCAAACCTGATTAACAGGTTGCAAAGTACCATTCATGGCCAGATGGTAATCTAATGAATAACCATTATAAAGAATCTACCATGTGAAAAGTGTATTTGCATGCACAGAAACCTGAGACTGTCATCCAGCTATGAAGCAGAGCAAATCCAAAGAAAATATATACATCTCACACAGGATTGTTTGGTAATTGATGCGTCTGGCTTGTGCATTTGTGCATTTTGTTTCTTGCTAAATATCTTCCTTTTCAATTTTTGCCATTTATTTCACAATGAGTCAGTATGCTTGTAGGTACATGTAAGGGCACACAAACATGCATGATGTCTTTGCCGTTTGTCATGGCTTTTTTTTTATAAGAGAACAAGGTTGCTGTGTCCTGGCTTGCTTTTCTCATTTCACTCTCTGTAATCACAGCATTATAAGCCTCTTCTATTCCAAACGTGATCTGCTCTGGCGCTTGTCATGCTGCCGTTGCCGCTGCGGCTGTTGTCTACACGAGACTGCGCAAAAGAGCCTTGTGAGTCAGGCGGGAACTGTGTCAAGAGTCCATGTGAGCTCCTGGTCAGGTGGCTGGCGGATAGATGGGTTTGTATGCCCAGGGCCAGCGAGAGCAGGGGAGGGAGGGAGAAGAGAAGGAGGAGGGAAAGAAAGAATGGGAGGGTGCAGCACGATTTAAAAAAAAAAATGAAAAGGGGAGTACAGAAAAGGCTCGTCTGTGAAAGGAAGCTGGCAGAGAGCGGGCTGCACGTGAGGGGCCGTCTTTCATCCTGCGGGGGCAGAACGCTGTCTGCAAAACAAAGCAGGCGTGAGGGTGGAGCTTAGGGAGTGTGGGAGTGGGTTGCTGTAGTGCATTTCCGATCCAATGTGACATCCTGAAACAAAGGATCTGTTTATGAGCATCTGAGGATCAAGTCACCAACACACTGTTGGTTTCTGTCATTGTGTGATATGATACTATACATACACACACACACATATATATATATATATATATTCACATAAGTTGATAAACTTTATTGACAGTAAAAGCACCCTTACACACTTTACTGAATGAGATGCACTGTGTCAGCCAGCTAGCAGATGGTTTTTCAATGATTTAACAACAAAACTCTTAAAAGATTCTTGTTTGAGAATTTTTTCTTGTTTAAAAGACGGACTTCTTTTTTGCTTTAACGGTCTTGTTTATCTGGTTAGACATCTCCAGACTCCGAGACTCAAATATCCAGCTCAGACTAGTATTTTTGGGGGTTTTTTTCATATAATTTTTAATTTTTCTGAAAGTATTCATCATATTTAATTTCAAGCTGTCCCAACACGGTCGCGTTCTTGTTTGTGCTCCCTGAAAGTCTGCCAAGTAAGCTTTGCGCGTCAGAGGAGAGCGTTGCTCAACTTCTCGCACTCTCACCTATATATGCTGCACGCAGGCCGTGACCCAGATAAAGATGGGCCGAACTAAGTTTCTACTGCCGTCTGTGTTCCCATCCTCCAGGTGGTGTCATCCTGTACGCCGGCTCATCTGGTAGTTCCAGTCCGAGTCCCGGAAGCCCATCCAGCGGATACCAGACCCAGTCGCCGTCCTCGCACTCGCAGCCCTCATCCCCGGAGGATGTCTCCTTCCACGAGATCGGGATGCTGAAGCAGAGAGGGGACCATGGGGGAGGAAATGTTTCTCCTAAAATGGTGTTCCAGTTCCCGGAAGTGAATAATGCACATGTTGCTCATATTACCACGGCACCATCAGCTACCTACAATCACCCCACAGCTGCTAAAAGGTCCTGCAGTTTCACTGGAACATTCACCAGTAAGTTCCCCCTCCTCTTGTTCTCAAGGCTGTTATTGAATGTCTCTCCTCTGAATGATGTTGCATTTTTATCAATTCATTTTTTTTATTTGTTTACAGAGACTGGAGGCATGGTGCTTTTATGTAAGGTTTGTGGAGACATCGCATCTGGCTTCCACTACGGCGTCCACGCCTGTGAGGGCTGCAAGGTAAGATGAGAGAAAAAAAAAAGACCATGTTATCTCCCTTCCTTTTAAGCCACAAGAATAAGAACGATATTCTTCAAAGCATTTATACCTTCTTGTGTTCTTTCTCCAGGGTTTCTTCAGACGCAGCATTCAGCAGAACATCCACTACAAGATGTGCGTGAAGAATGAAAACTGTCTTATCATGCGTATGAACCGTAACCGGTGCCAGCACTGCCGCTTCAAGAAGTGTCTCTCTGTGGGCATGTCCAGAGATGGTGAGGGACTGTTCATACCCAATGTTCACTGAACGTCTGTTCATAGTTCTTGTTTAACTTCAATGTGTCTTCCTAATTCTTACTAAGATAAAGTTAGAGTCATATGAAATAATTTAGATTGCTGATATCTTGAGGAAATTTCCTTTTAAGGGATGTTAGAGTAAAGGGGGTAAATATATATGCACACAAAGTTGCACACATGAAAGACCAATACAGTACATTAAATGTTTGTCTTTCTTTTGTCCTGTCCTTCCCATCTTATTTATATCGAGAGGAGCTTTAGGCTCTCTGTCGTCTTTGTTTTTGCTCAAGCAGGGAAAAAAGTTTTCTTTTTAAAACCAGAACACGAAGCAGTTGATTACAAGCCTCCTGGATGGCAAGATTTACAATCTTTGCTATAAATCATCTGTGACTTGTTGTTATCCTGTCATGTAAATCTTTATACTATAGCTTTCCTATTCCCTTGAATTCCCTTGAATCTGCTGTTTTGCATTTTATCTTCACTTCAACTCTTCAGTCTCTCTGGGAAACACTAAACTGGGTGATAATAAATCATGTTTTGTTTTTTCCCAGAGCAAATCATTTTAGTTGACCCAAAAAAGCCAAAGCGAAGAAACCTCCTAATTTATCAAACTGCAACCTGACCATGCTATATATATTTTTAGATACAGCCTTTTTTTTCTAAAGAAAATCAGCTTTTTAATGACTTTTATTTCCCGGCATATGGCCTGTTCAGTTGCCCCACCACCCCATATCTGCCCCCTCGTCTCTAACCTTTCTAGCCCTCATTCATGCTGTCACTTCTCTAATGACACTAGGTTCAATGTTTTTGACCTAGTGACCTACTTCCGCTGCAAAGCTAAACTGAAAAAGCAGAAACAGAGGGAAAATGTGCAGAGGGTGAGGGGGGGTGCGAGGGTGGTGACTATAAATAGGACAGCCAGTGAAGGTGCACAAGCGAAAGAGGGGGAAGGGAGCACTGCGACAGGCAGAGGAGAGAAGCAGGCAGAGATGAAGGTTTTAGGATCAGATCTGGTGGAACAGTTGCAACTGACAGATTAAATTAATGCACAGATAAGTCCTCACATTGCAGATTTCAGATGTATTTTAAACAAGTTGTTACTATCAGGATGTGAACATTTCCTGCTTTAACCTGCTAATTATAAATCTACCAGTTCTGAAGAAGCATTTCTCAGACCGCTGCCTCCTTATCAGAGATCAAACTGTTACTTTTCCTCATGCATCACAATAAACATGCTATCAAAAGTACCTGGTCAATTTTCCCTTTCTAAAGTTGTTAACATCTCCTGTTACTGAATGTCTCAGTTTATGCTAACAGAGGCTTTCTCTTGTTTTTGCTCCTCAGCTGTGCGTTTTGGGCGTATTCCCAAGAGGGAGAAACAGAGACTAATGGATGAGATGCAGAGCTATATGAACAGTATGAATGGACCTGCTTCCATGGAGATGGAGGTTCTGCCTCCTTCTGATGGCCCCTGCAGTCCGCACAGCCAGACAAACGCAGGACACGGTTCCCTATCGCAGTCTTACCCCAGCGAAGAGAAGCCGCTCAAGATAGCTGCAGGCGGCAGCAACATGGCGACTCCATCTTTCCAGAGTGCTGGGGGGCAGAACGTTGGCCTGTCAACTCAGAGCCAGAATGCGGCACAGCACAGGGGTCACGTGGAGCAGCAAAACGCAGCAGCAAGCTATCATCTCGCTGCTAACTTCCATGCTGCGCCCTGCATCAGTGCGAGCTCCACAAGTACAAATGTCAGCAATGCCAACTACTCCTTCTCCAATCAAAACCAGTGTCCGGTTAGTGGGAACGTCCAGTCCCAGACCTTCATAGCCGGTCACGGTGTCATGCCAGACAGAGATAACCAGAACCAAACATCCTGCCCCTGGAAGCTGAATGGAGGCGCCAAAGTGCTTGTAAGTTTTGTTGATGTTGTTGTTTTTTTGTCCCATTTAAATCATTAGAAATCAGTTCAGTGTCAGTTTAACATTATCAGTGCTAATCTGTTGTGTCTGTTTTGTCTCTGTAGGCGTGTCCTCTCAATTCGTGTCCCGTGGCTCCGGCCAGTCGCTCCAGTCAGGAGGTGTGGGAGTCGTTCTCTCAGTGCTTCACCCCCGCTGTTAAAGAAGTGGTGGAGTTTGCAAAGAGCATACCGGGCTTCCAAACTCTGAGCCAGCACGATCAGGTCATGCTGCTCAAATCTGGCACTTTCCAGGTACGTCCATCTAAACGGTCCCTCCTCAACCTGTCCTAAACTCCCCGCCCCCGTCTATTCTGGTGCTGACAGGGTCTTGTTCTTTCGCACAGGTTCTTATGGTGAGGTTCTGCTCGTTGTTTGAACCCAAAGAGAGGACGGTGACATTCCTTAACAGACAAACCTACTCACTGGCATCACTGAGGGCTCTGGGAATGGGCTCCCTGTTGGACTCCATGTTTGACTTCAGTGAAAAGCTGGGGTCTTTGGGTCTGGAACAAGACGAGATGGCTCTTTTCATGGCGGTTGTTCTGGTGTCTGCTGGTAAGTCAGAGAAGCATTAATAACTACAATGATTTTTTAAATATTAATTTAAAAAAAGGATGTCTAGCCAGGTTTTATTTAGTTGATACGATCATTGTTCTTTAAGATAAAGCATTCTGTAATACCAAGGCATCCAGCTTCTAGACAGATACTTAAAATCTGTTTTAAAAAAAACAAATGTTCCAGTCTTAATGTTTTGTTTCCTCCCCTTTTTTTCCCCTCAGACCGCTCCGGCATCATAGAGGTGGGAGCAGTGGAGCAGCTGCAGGAGAATCTGATTAAAGCTCTGCGTTCCCTCATCACTAGTCGCCGGCCGGACGACAGCACACTCTTCCCAAAGCTGCTGCTCCGCCTGCCGGACCTACGCACACTGAACAATCAGCACTCCGATAAGCTATTAGCTTTCCGCATAGACCCTTAAGTTAACATTTCACGGCGGAGTCATGAGGCATCCATTTTTTGGGGTCCTCTCTGTGTGAGGACCAGGTTGCTAGATTAAGCACTGGCCTCTGCAGGACAGACAGCTGTTTCAGGAGCGGTGCCAAGTTTAAAAAGGCGAGGATTTGAACTGGAAAAACACCAGAGGAGAACCTCAGCGCAGCAGGAGGTGGATGCTTCTCAACTATAGGGCTTCCAGCTGGACTGCCCAGAAGAAACAGACTGTACTCTTCCATTAGTTTCTTCAAGTCAGTGTCAAACAGTCACCTTTCACTCACTCGGCCTCTAGAGTTTATCAGAGAAAAACTTTTTGTACTGAAGACCAAAAAACAACAAAAAAGGACAGAGCTTGTCTTTTTCTCATCACTCTATGTTCTCCTTTTCCAGCTCATGAAGCTAACAGGAAGGAAGCGCACACTGTTTTAGAGATAAAAAGAAGCATTTGCCAATAGACTTCCTTTTATCTTCTTCCCACGTATGACAAACAAATCTGACTATAAAGTTTGTCATAGGAAAAGACCATCCCTAACATCCAGTTAGGAGGGCTGCTTGTGTTTGCCCGGTCTAAATGAAATAAGCTATTTTCACAACATGATATCATGTGGAAAATCTTTACTCAAATCATCCATTTGTGGTTGAGATATGTTGATATTTTTAAGGAATGAGTTGTATTTATACACGCTATGAATATTGGTCATTTTAGACCAAGTTTAAATGGATTTATGTATATGTAAAGGTGTTCTGTTGTATATTTTGTACAGAACTTGTTGTAGTTGCTTATTAAATAGATGCAGATAGATGTATATGTTAAATAGAATTATTGAAAGTCGCCAGAGGATTTCCACCATGTGCGTGGAGGATATGGTTTTTATCTGGAGATATGCACCTGAAATAAATGTACCGTCAACTGAGCTTATGTATATTTTGTAAATCTCTATAGCCTCAATATAGAGAGCCACTATTAAAAGATATTCTATAGCGTTTCTCTTTGTGCTTGTTTTCCTTCCCCTCTGATGCAGACATACCCTTAGATCTGTAACCTAGCAACTGAGCCAATCGTGCTCCAGATCTGACAGTCAAGGTTTTTTTCCCCCCTCTAAAAAGGAAATATTTTATCTTTGAGTTGTTGTGCAATAACAGGTCATTTCAAAGATGTCATATTCCTGTAGATACATTTTAGGAAGTGATGCAAATGGAGCACAGGGTCATTTTTTTAGAGGGGTTGAAAGATGGAAAGCTGGATATAGTTGGTATATGCAAATATGCAACAGAAATAACGGCTGCATCGTAGCTTAATTAGTGACTCAAATGTCTTCATGATGTGTAGAGACTAACTATGGAGCAGCAAAAAAGAGCGTACATTGCTGCAGAACAGGGTGTTCTCTTAGTATTAATGTTTGGAGACAGTTTCCATAAACAGCAACTCTGCCCTCCACACGCTGTATTAATGACTCACTGGTATCACCCTTGTTTAAACCCTGTGGACTGGGAATGATGGAGCCCTGCGTGAACTTCAGGAGATAAAAGCAGACATTTATGCTCAGAGCAGGTTGGTAGGTTTTTAAGAGGACTGATATCGGATTGCAGCAAACTGTTGCATTAATTTATTCTAAACATCGATGACTTTTTGTATTAACATGGATCTGGCCTGGACAAGAAAAAATAAAAATAAAAAGATTAAAAAAAAAAAAAAAAAAACAGGTGTCAGTAACTCAGCTTAACCTGAATGATAAGCAGTTAATACTATGATAAAACAGAGACAAAAACTATCACCACTATTTGTTTTATAATATCATCCCTGTCATCAGAACACATTACTGCTGATCTCCAGCAGTGCATAAACTGGTACTTTGAGACTTGCAGCTATAAGGTCTAAGTTTAGGTCCCTGTCTGCCACCTGCTGGAGAGGGTAAGAATAAAAAGGAAATTTTAGAATAGAATAGAATCTAACTTTATTGTCATTACACTGTCACAAGCACAAAGCAACTCTCTGCATTAAACCCACCACTTTGGGAAGCAATGGGCTGCCATTTTGGAGTGCTTGTTTTAAAAAATTTTAAATATCCATTTTATTTTCACTGCATTGAGAATGAAAAAAAACAATAAAGATAGCAGTTATTTGATTTCTGAATGACAACCCCCCTACTATGCTGCATAAACAGAGCTGGACTTCATTTTAAATCATTCATATTCAAAGGTTGGTAAAGTACACAAAAAATGCTCTTAAATAATACTACTTATAGTATTAAATAGCATTACTTTATCTTATCTGTAAAACTAAGTAAAAAGCAGCCTTTAAAGAAATTACCAAAGTAAAGAGTAAAAAGGTATTTGGTATAAGGCTCCTCAAGTACTGAGTAACCAAACCACTTACTACCCATGATTATAACAACTGACGTAATATTTTAAAAAAATTATGTACAATTGAACATATTAAGTGATCTGCAAACACTGATTTTTCAAAGATTAAGATATATGTTAAATAAAACTGTTATATTACAAAAAATATTAAAATTAATACTTTTTGAAATACATTTTTGAGTTATAAAACTTTTGAAAAATCAACACTTGCAGTATGTAAAATACTTTGTACTGTACTTTCTCCAAACCTCCATATAACGCGGCAGATTCAGCAGATGGAAAATAACATTTAGTCAATGAGTGTTGAGTACAAAAAACTAAGAAAGTGTGTCTATCAATGGTGTATATTTGTTTAGAACGTGATTGTTTGGACTGATAGTGGACGAGTTACCAATATTTTGTCTTAAGTAAAAGGACTGATACTTTATCTGATTTTTAATCAAGCAAAAATTAAAATGTTGTACAATGCTGTAAACTACCCCTAACTGACACTCTCGCTCTATATATATAGTTATTACATATTTATTATATTATATTATATTATATTATATTATATTATATTATATTATATTATATTATATTATATTATATTATATTATATTATATTATATTATATTA